ACTTTTTTTAAATTTAACAACAATAAACGCTTTTCTTTGTCACCCGTAGTAATTTGTTAAAATAATGAAACTTGAGTTAATCTTTATATTTAATACTTAATATGAGTAATTACTGCTTTACTTTTTAATACACACATACAATCTGCAATATACACAGTTATACAGCTATCCCCAAATATATATTTATATATACCTTTCCGCTTTCGAATCTTTCGATGCGTACAAAGAAAAGCTAGGTAGACGAAATTTTTCTTGTCCTCAGTTAGCGCCCACTCAGAGCACCATTGCAATCCTAGCTTGGTATCACACGGAGAGATCTCTGGTACTACGGTAGTATGTATAGCCGCGTGGAACAGTAGTATGAGGCTCTTTTACCGTCAAGCTTGAATCAGATGGCGCCGGGGCACGTCGCGGCTGTCATGGCCGTCTCACTCACACAACATTACTTTTCAGTATTGTATGTACATAGGAAAGTAAAGTGTAGTGGTAAAGCGCAATATTTGGAATTTTAAAATAAATAAGAAAGACAAGAAAGGATATTATGGGAGCTTAAAAGTTTGAGAATTGAAAAAGCTTTTAAAAGGGAAAGGAGCAAGAGTCAGTGAAAGAAAAGCAGAACTCGTGGAGGCAAAGTGGTCGAGGCATAAGCCATGACTTAGGAGCGGCAAAAATACTAGTCTCCCAATTGCTTCGAGCCACTTTTTTTTATCACACTATCAGAAGGAAATTTAAATTTCACTTTCTTATCGCAGGATATTACACTGCACTTCATTTTTCCTACTATCTTTAAACGTAAATGCAAACAAAAATTGTCTGCAAACAACAGCAATCATTTACAAAGGTTATGTCTTCTGCTTTGCTCATTACACAGATAGGCTCACGAACACAATACACAACTGTAAATTTGACGGTGTGTAAGTGCGACGGCCATGACAGCCGCGATGTGCCCTGGCGCCATCTGATTCAAGCTTGACGGTAAAAGAGCCTCATAGTGCGTCGTGTACGACTGTAGCGCCCACGCGCCACAACGAAAGTATATGGCTTCTGCTACCGTAGTATACAGGCCTCCGTGCAACTGTAGTGCGTGAACTATACTACCGTTGCTTCTGGGGGCCTATCGAAGCAACTAACGCGCGCGTGAGTGAGCGAGTGAGCGTGCGTGAGCGAGCCCGTGGAAGGAAGCAAGCGCACACTAGCGATGGGATATAGTTCCGGCCAGATTTGGGAATTCTCTAGGACCCAACCTTTCTGACGTGGGAAATCACTACATCAAAAAAAAATAGTACCGAAGGTGACGCGCGAGATTCAAATAAGCTCCAACAGAACAAGCATCAATCACCCAATGACCCGGGGCGCTTACTGGCCACTCTGTTAAATAAATAATTTTTAATAACACAAGCGCCTATCACCCAATGACCCGGGGCGCTTACTAACAAACGTATTAGAAAATTAATTATTAAATTAATTAACAAAAGCACCTATAACCCAATAACCCAGGGCGCTTACTGGC